ACTGTTCGACCAGTTCAGCTCGTTCAAAACGAACTGTTCGAAAAGTTCAGCTCGCTCGAAAAGAACTTTTGAACAGTTCTTTCGCTCATTTGAACGGAGTTCGTGAACGTGAGCTGGTGAACCCCTAGAGTTGTCGAACTGCGACAACCTAATTTTCATAGACTGTAGTTTTTGGACTATAAAAGCAGTAAAACGTTCTGAATCCAGAGTTTTAGTCCTATTATCTCACATAGAATTAAATTCTGTGTCTTTTGATATATAAACAAAGTTTCTCAATTGAAACCATTAATTAAAAAATTAATTTTATATATATTTTAAATTGAAAAGCCGGTTGAAAACTCATTATGACACCAGCTGACGTAGTCGAAACATTGCATGAAGTTGTAAATAAGATCGATAGAGCGAAAAATTCTCTATCTTTCTACCTAGAAAAATTAACTATTGAACCTCAGACAATGGGCTAAAAATCTGAAATATCGAGACAACAAAAGCAAGTCGCAGTTCGACAACTCAACACCCGTCAATATTTTGAACGATACTCAAACACGAAAAATGCTCTCAGAGATTCAAATGCTAGATTTTGTAGAGAATTCAATTCTCTATCTTTTGCTATATAAAGGAACTTTTCATTTGAAGAGGAAGTACGAAACAAAATGCAGTAACAAAACACAATTAATTATGAATCAACCTGATATTATTCTCATTATCATCTGCTACCACACGCTTAATGCATATGTATTTCTGAAAATAGATTCATACGCATGTGAACTAAATCGAAAAACATTTAATACATGCTTTGGTAGTTATTGTTTAACCAATAAAATTATTTATAATAATTTATACGCATTTATTTCTACAGACCAATACTCAAGGGAGAAAAGGCAACTTAGCATCGTTCAGCATTGGATGCTGAGCATTTCAAGCTTCGGAAAGCATTTCAAGGACTCCGAAAAGCTCCTGAAGTCGTCTTTTCCCCCTTGCCAATATGCCGGCATTGTAACAAAATCTTTATTTTTATTTGAAGCTGTTGTTGTTTTTATTGCCTAACTTGTTTATTCATGACCTTGTTTACATATTGTTTGTAGGATATATGTTTAGATTTCTATATGAATATACAAAGAAGGATAGTTCATGAAATAATATCTGTGTACATCCACACAGAGTAGGAAACTAATATTTTTGATTATTTATATACTCCAGTTGATTCAACATAAAAAAAGCCTTTTTTTCTTTCCAACTAGCGTTTGGCCGACAGAAAAAATCCTGTAAGACTCTGAGACTCAAAAGGTTTTAGTCCGGTGGAGTCTCTCCTAGTCAAAGGAGTCTTAAGACTCGATGAGTCCAAGAGTCTGCTGTTATTCTTGGTTCTATTATAAAAAAGAGGTTTCTGTCCTTGTTTCAATTCAATTTCCCAGTTTCTACTTTGTTCTTGATAACAGATACACAGAAAAGCGACGCTCACTATTCCAAAGATATTCCTTAAATCCATATAAAAACAGCCGTTTTTCTTAGGAGTTTTTCATAGTTTCCGTAATTTAGTTATGTTTAATGATTCTTAAGGAATGTACCACTTCGGTTATGCATAAAGTTGTTGATGCACATCGTTTTGGAAAGTTTCATTAGTTCAAAATATCATATTTAAAAAAAACGATCTTTTTTGTACATTTTCAGGCCGATAATACACAAAATCTCTCAAACATAACACTACCACGTCTTAACCATCAAGATTTATTATTGAAGCGTTCTGTAAAACAATTGGATATTGAAACGATGACAAATGTGTTGATGTTAAATAAATATGACGATGTAACTGTTCTATGGTTTGATGAACAAATTGAATAACCCATAAAAGAAAGATTGGAACATTTACATAATCATATTCAACTATGTTCGACCATTAATCAATTAATGGAATCTATAGACAAAATTCAAAATCATAAAATTATTCTTATTGTTCGTGGTCAGTATGCTCGTGAAACATTATATCGTAAAGAAGATTAATTCATTTTATATATTTCGCATAACTCAACAAATGTATCATGATTTGATCGATGATAAACGATATTCAAAATTAATTAATATTTATACAGAGTATAATCAATTATTTGAAATGTTAGAAAAACAAATACGTTCACTACTGAAACACTTATCAATATTCAAATTATTTGTTAAAAATAATAAATCGATTCGTGATCTTGAACGCGGATCAACAGAATTTTTATATTATCAATTATTATGTGATGTTTTAATGAGTATGAGAACACAAACTGAAGAAGCAAAACAGGATATGTTAAACTATTGTCGCTTGTATTATCAAAACGATGATGTTAGTATGAAAAAAATTGATGAATTTGAAAAAATATACGAATCATCACAAGCTATACGTTGGTATACAAACAATTTTTTTCTATTTAATTTTGTAAATCAAGCATTATGAACAGAAGATATAAATGCTTTGTATAATTTAAGATATTTTATTGTTCATTTATGTAAAAATTTGACATTAATCTATGATGAATATTATCAAACATATCAAGAGAATTTTGATTCACTTATGTTCTATGGTGGTTTTGAATTGTCTGATGAAGGTATTAAAGAATTGAAACAATCAATTGGTAAATATGTTTCAACAAATGGTTATTTGTCAACAAGTCGCTCACGTCATGTAGCAGAAATGTTTGCTACAAATGTTCTATTCTAAATTACAAAATATTATTTTTGCTGATATATCACAATTCAGTACAATACCGGATGAAGAAGAAGTTTTATTTGATCTTGACATTACATTTCAAATTATCAATATTCACTATGAAAGTAATAAATGGATTGTATCAATGATGGCTATCACAAATGATACTGAATGTTTAAAAAATGATGTAATCGAATGTCATCGAAATATCATACTGCCCAATTGTAATGATTATACTTTTGGTTGATTTTTATTGGATATTGGACAAGCTGAAATATCTGTTAAGTATTTTGAAAATTTAATAATTGTTTAATTGCACTTAAATATGTTCCTACTGATGAACTTTGATTTTTAGCTCATTTACATTTTAATATTGCAGAAGTTTATGCATTCAAACATTGTCAACAAATATTAGAAATATTTAGTGAATTTTATCCAAAATATCCAGTTGGAATAGCTGATATATGTGATGTTCTGGGTGAAATCTATTATAAAATGACTAAATATGAGTTATCACTTGAATATTTACATTCCGAGCGTCCAGGAATAAAAAGCTTTTCGGCTTTTTCTACCTCGATCCCCGTGCTACTTGTCTGGTTTTTGGCCTTGGGATCGATCAAGCTCCATGCAAAAAATACTGCAGTGAACATAATGTTTTTCGAAATCTTTCTTCGATTAATAACACAGCAGCGTTCAACTTCGGTTTCGGCCGTATGGTGAGCTTGTAGCGATGTATCTCTGTGTGTATGAATTTGCAAAACAAGTTCCGATTGTTTTTGGGTAAATATTCATGACATTTACTTAGTATTCTATACGTAATATTGATAAATGAAAAACGTATTCATTCAAATGAGGGATCGATAAACCTATTTACGGTCGAAGGTACTTTACTACGGTAATGCGGTAACAATCGCCGCATAATAGGCGATTTGCTGCACTGAACAAAATGATTCAGAAGGCTGAAGATTCGTCTGACATTGTAAATAACGGGGTGGTAGTTTGTACATCATGATGTTCACGAACGAATAAATATTGTGTGAAGATTCGAACGTGACAACATGTCGGATTTAACTTGAAATACCTGATGAAGACGTCAGCTCGATTTAGAGATTCAAGTGAACCGGCTCCTGTCCGATTCGATTTCGGTCTAGACTTAATTAATCGATTAGTTTAATCTGGCCCTGTCCGATACCAGTCAAATAGCTGTACCGGGTCTAGTCAGTTTATAATTAAAAAAATATGGCAAGAAAAAAGACTATTTAGAAGCAATTTGTAATAGGCAAAAACTTAAGTGTATGTATTATTTTCTGCTTGAAATATTCATATTTTTCTCGTATATTCATAATGCGTAAATATATATATATTGACTACTATCCACTATATAAGTGATATCAGCTTTCTCACGTGGATAATAGACTTCAATGCTAGAATCAATTATAGAATTTTAAAACCGTGAAATCGAATAGCGTGTTATTAGTCAGTCTGATGTTCTTGTACTATTCTAATCAAAAAAACTGTTTTATCCCAAATCTCTCTTAAAATAATTTGTTTCTATGACAACCGCACATATCTCGCACTTTTATCGTATACCGCATGTACCAAAAAGTAATTCTGGATCCGCCACTGACATATTGTATAAGGTTTTGTTTACATGAACGCACCATTGGCATACTAACAAGTCATGCAGAGTATAACCACTGTGAGGGTTGAATTAATTCTCAAAGACATGAACTTCACTCGACACCAATTTTCAAAATTTAGCATACATTTTAGTCAATAAGTCTCCTTTGTATTAAACGCGATGTCTGTTCATAGATCATCTTATTTGTTTAAGTCATCTGCATGTAAAACGAAAATATCCTTTACTCGTTGGAAAACGGTGCGCAAAAACGTTACCGTGTAACTTTCTGTAACCGTGCACAAAAATATCGAGAGATTTTTTAGTGCACAGAAAATAGCAAACCGTGCACAAAAAACATTTCCCTCCACAATCTGATGCATTTCAATGAGTCTGCGAATTTGAAATGCATTCATATGGGTTTTCTTTCATCGCAGATGCATTTTAGTGCGTTTCAGCTTTTCGAACGCATCAGTCTGCAGTAAAACTTAACGCTTTTCGACACATTTTTTCCGAGTTATAGACCAATTCTGAGCTGCGGCAAATTTTCCGGTTTTATACTTAGAAGACGTTGGCCAAGCTACTACTGTCTGCCTTATGGATGATACATTGAGTGAACAAGTATTGGCCCACCTAATTATTATCCATTTTAAAGTAAAATGCATCTGCGCACACCTTCATCCTTACCACGATCAAAATTAAGTAGTTGAACGTGACCCGTTCTAAAATATAGCGCACTCCATTACTTCTTGAATAAGGTATGATAGAATAGTGATGGATACCTGAGGTTTTCGACTTTCGAAACAGGATACTTGGAAGTATCTTTATGGATTCAACTTAGGCTTTATGGTTAAATTTCTTTCTATTATACGGTGTAAAACATTTACAACAGTTCAATTATTCGAATGGCTAGAATTATGATGCTTCCGACAGAACGGCGGACGTGGTTTTCAACCCCTTCGTTTCTTACCCGATATCAATTAAATTAAGCTTGAATAATTTTGAGGTCACAAATACATGTACGAGTTTTCCTTTTTTGCAGACGACGCAAAAAACAACCTAAAACATACAGGTAGAATGTTTGTATCCATTTAAACAGAAACCTTTTAAAAATGAATTTAGTGTATACTATGTCTTTGTAGATTTGAATAACTCAGCGGTAAGAACATCGTGTACAACATCTGATCAAAACATGAACTAGTTATTCTTACTTGTGCCTTTTAAGAAGCTTTTTGGCTTATATTATTCTAATTTGCGATAAAATTTGCTTGCCTGCGGTAAGTTGTTTCTCCATATTCTTCTTGTATATATTTATTCCTATGAAAATTTGTCTACTTAGGAAATTGTTGCCAAAAAACATGATCAACAGCAATCAAGACAATTGTAAGATATAAATTTACTACTCTCTCTGGAAAAACCTTTGGTTCAAAATTAATGCATATTTCCTGGTGGTTATTATCACTTTCTTATGAAAACTCTTACGAGTTTCTTATAAGATTTTTATAATGCCTGTACGAAATTCTTGGGCTTACCTGCCGAATCTTATTTAGGAATCTGGTGACAATCTGATAAGTCTCTTGCACAGATCTTAATACTTATAGCTTTCTAGTATGATTGTTGACTGATCCTTATATAAGAATGGATGACTAAGGCAATAAAATTGAATATTTAATCACTTTGAAATATTTATGCATAATAGTTTGAAATAAAGGACAAGAGTATTGCAGAATTGATCGAAAAATACAAAAAATATAGAATAAAAAGACAATAAAAACCAAATTAATTTTAAAAAGCGAAATTCACTCACAAAACCGTTCCACTCTTCTCTAGTGTATATCTGTTATTCTTCGTTGATTTGGTATGAATTTTCTACTCAAGAGAGCTAGAGAAATGACGGTTTCATTCTTCAGAACTATAGTTGTTGACAAAATCAGCTGCTTCTTTTGCATGCATTAGAAATCGAGTTGATGTTTTACTCTACTCGAACAGCTACTCTTCATGTGAGTAACTACGTTGCTCTAGTGGAAAAATCAGATCCTCAGCTTATATCTTCTCCAAGATGCGTTAGCCGCAATTGATCCAGTTGTTGGTTGTCACGACCTATTCGTTGACCTAGAAGATAATTTTGATTAATTCCTTTTCAATGATCAATTTATAACTTTCTGTCTCTTTTAATTTTCTTGGAACATACATAAATTTACATTACAAGCTCGTTTTGATTATATTAATCGTATTTTACCAAAAAAAGATGTAAGTAATTTACAATATTTGCCGAATGCATTACGAAAAGATGGATAAAATCTAGATGGGTATCATTCGAATATTACATAACTAATTTGTTACTTGTTTTGACCGTTTTCAGCACTGTAATCAAATATAATCCTCCGTTTCACAACGGGCATCCAGCTACATATTTGACAAAAAAATGAACGTGTTCTTTTCGAAGTCTAAACATCGAAATCAATATATAAATATTTATTCTATCTTGATACAACATAACAAGTTGATAACCACAGTGGGGAAATAGAAAAACTCAAAGATCGCTATAAAGGATCAATGTTAATCTTTTGAGCAACTTTATTAAGTATTTTTGAATAGTAAAAGTATCCAAGGAAAACGTTTTGAGCGCAGGCAACTTTCGCGACATCACCGATTAGGCGTCTACACTCAGTTCCGGTGCATTCGCCCAACAGGCGAATTTTGCGACATTGTCATAATCGGCTACTTCCCCAATATCACCTAGTTCAGCGAAGTCGTCGGAACCGGGTGTTGACGCCTAATCGGCGATGCTGCGAAAGTTGTCTGCGTTCGGAAAATTTCCGCTGACTACCAGACATAAACCTGATATTTGGAATCAGGTCCTTGAGCTACTTGAACAATGAATATAAAACACAGAAAATCGTTTTCTGCATTTCATGTTTCAGACATGAGTATCAAAAACGCTATCTTCAATGTGTAACGTATACAGTATTTTCAGTATCCGTATTGTCAATATTTTTTAACTTTTCGACTTTTGCCGTTCTCTTTTCAAGTAGGTATGCACCAAACCCAAACTCCAGTTCCGAGTTCGGGATCGAACAGTTCGTGTTCGCCTCAAGTTCAAATTATACAAATTTCCTATTAATTACCGCTTTCGTAATAATTCAGTAATTTCCGAGAAACTGTTGAGTTAGAATTAATTGACATCAGAAATTTCCTGGTAATTTCGCCCGAATGCGGTTGCAATTTCCGTAATACTGATAAATTTCGTTCTATAGAATGAGGAATTACCGAAATTTCCAGCAGATTTCTTCACTAAAGTGAAGATAATTTCAGAATCTTCTCGAAATTTTTATTAACATGTACCTGAAAATTTCGGAAAATTCGCGGAAATTTCTTTCTTATATAATGGTCATTACTGAAGTTTCTACGAAATTTCTGTTTATGCGCATGAATGTTTTGAAAGTACATTAGAGAAATTTTGGCATTTTCGGAATTTTCTTTTTTTGGAAATCTGCCCATTGCTGGACAGGGACCAAAGATATTAACTCGCACCGATTTTCAGTGACGCTGTCATTATAGATGTATTGT